AAAATGTAAGAGGGGCTAGAGTTGGTTAGAGCTTTATAGGTAAGGTTTGGTATTTTGACTTGACACCTGTTTGATACAGAAAGTCAGTGTAAGGATCGACAAAGGGGCGAAGTATGGGAGGAACGACGGGTGAGAAAGATCAGCCTGTCGGCAGCATTCATTACCGATTGTAGCGGGGCAGTTTGGCTTTTGTGGAGACCAACTAGGAGAGAATTACAGTAATCCATGCAAGAGATTAGCAGAGAATGAACAAGCTCCTTGGCAGCATCTTACGTGAGAGATGGGCGGATGCAGGCGATATTTTTAAGGTGGAATTGACAGGTTTTAGCAACATACTGGATATGTCGTTCAAAGGTAAGGCCAGGATCAAAGATAGCACCAAGACAACGAGCTTGCAAGGACGGACTGATGCAAGCACCATCAACTTGCAGGGAGAGCGAAGGAGGAGGATCAGCATTATGAGGGGGAAAAATAAGAAGCTCAATTTTAGAGAGATTGAGTGTTAGAAAGCGGGAGGACATCCAATCAGAAATAGAAGAAAGGCAAGCAGTGACACGCTGCAGGACCGCGGTGGAGAGATCAAGGGAGGAGAGATATATCTGGGTGTCGTCGGCATGCAGATGGTTGTGGAATCCAAAGGAGTTAATTAATTTGATAAGAGAAGCAGTATAAAGAGAGAACAGAAGGGGACCAAGAACAGATCCTTGGTGGACTCCAACCGAGACAGGGCAAGAGGAGGAGGTGTCATTGCAAAATGAAACCCTGAACGGGTGTTGAGAGAGATCAAAGGAGAACCACGAGAGGACAGTGTCACAGAGCCCGATGGATTGAAGAGTTTGGAGGAGGAGGACATGATCAACAGTGTCAAAGGTCAAGAAGAATTAGTATGGAGTAGTGGCCTTTGGATTTAGCTGGTCATTTGTAATTTTAATAAGAGCAGTCCCAGTAGAGTGGAGGGGGGCGAAAGCCAGATTGAAGAGGATCAAGGAGGGAGTTGGAATTTAGGAAGTGAGTCATATGAGTAAAGACAAGTCTTTCTAGAAGCTTTAAGAAAAAAGGAAGCAGGGAAATGAGACGAAAAGGAAGGGGAAGACGGGTTTGGGGATGGCTTTCTTAGGATGGGTACGATAGCAGCATGCCCAAGGGGAGCAGGGACAACACCAGATAAAAGAAAGCAGTAAAGGATGTGTGTTAAAGATGGTACAAGACAAGGGGAGAGAGATCTGATAAGGTGTGAAGGTACTGGATCAAGCGGACAGGTGGTGGGACGAGAAGAGAGGCAAAGCCACCCCCTGTTCTGTAGCTGTGGAGAAGGCCTGTAGGGTAGGGAAGGAAAAGGTCCATGTTAGGGATGTGCATGGGCAAAAAATTTGGTTCGGCACTTCTGAAATTCAGGACTTCGGCAATTCGGTTCGGCACTTCCGAAATTCGGGACTTCAGCAATTTGGGACTTTGGCACTTCTGGACTTCCTCTCCTGTTTTGCCACTTTTCTGAAATCCGAAGAACTTCAGCACTTCTAAAATTCGGCACTTTGGCAATTCGGTTTGGTTCACCATATCCGAAATTCGGCAATTTGGCAATTCGGAACTTTGGCAATTCGGTTTGGTTCGTCACTTCCGAAATTCGGCACTTCGCGTATTCGTCACTTTGGCAATTTGGACATTCGGAAGCATCTGAATGTCCGAATTGCCGATATTCGGCCGAATTTAAATTCGGAACGAAACTAATTGCACATGTTTAGTCTATGTGTGGTTGCGAGAAGGAGGAGCAAATGGGGAAGAATTATTTTCTTAACTGTTCAATCTTGTGGTAAAGTAGCATGCAAGGCTATCTGCTGAAAGGTCAGTTTGAAGGGTGGCTTGAGGTGGGCAAAGGAGAGAGTTCAAGGTATTAAAGAGACGCCTGGGATTGCGTGAGCATGAACTAACAAGAGAGGAAAAGTAGGATTGTTTTGCAAGGATGAGGGCTGTGCTATATGTACACAAAATGAATTTATAATGAAGGCAGTCTGACAAGATGCGGTCCTTTCTCCAGCAGCGTTCAGCTGAATGGGAGCATCTCTGCAGATAGCGGGTCGATTTAGTGTGCCAAGGTTGGAGGCTCGTCTTCCTTGAGGTGCATCTTTGGAGTGGGGCTGTAGTGTCCAGGGCAGACGTGAGGGTTGGCATTATATGAGGAGATAGCCAGAGAGGGACAGGAGAAAGTGGGGATAAATTAGCGTTTTGAATGGAGATCAGCTGAGAATTGCTGGACATCAAGAGAATTCAGGTCCCTTCTGAGTTGAGGGTGGTTTAGGTGAGGGATCTTTCAATAACAAATGATAAGAGGTTGTGATCTAAAAAAGGAAATGGAGTGTTGTGGAGCTTAGAGATAGAGCATGCATTAAAAAAAAAAAATAAGATCGAGGGTATTTCCAGCTGCATGTGTTGCAGTATTTACCCACTGTCATAGGCCAAGGTCAGGCTACTGAGGTCAGGGGTGGGTTAATAGGAATGTTGAAATCTCCGAGAATTAGGGAAGGGACTTAAAAGGAAGTAGGGAAGCCAAGCAGAAAAATGGTTAAGGAACAGACTAGGGCAGTGATGGTGATCCTATGGCACGCGTGCCACAGGTGGCACGCCGGGCCCTTTCTGTGGGCACTCGGCCATAAGTTCGCCATCAATGCAGAATAGGCACCTGCCTGCCCAAAACGGCAGGCGCCTACTCTGCTTCCGTGTCGGGAGGCAGGGGGAGGGATCTGTGAAGCAGCTCCCCTGTCCTCCCGAGAGCAAGCTGTGTGGAGCTTTGCCGCGTGTTACTATGGCAACACTCCACACAGCATCGCGAGGGGGGACAGGGGAGCTGCTTCACAGATCCCTCCACGTGCCTCCTGACACGGAAGCAGTGCTTGCCACCACCAGACCACCAGGGATGGCTGTGTCCCCCCCCTCCTTCATTAAAGGTTAGAAGGAGGGGGAGGGGGATACTGATTTAGCATACTTTTTTTTTTTAAAACACCTTTACCCCAGCCCCACACACACAGAGCACCCCTACCCCCCTACAGCACCCCTACCCCCACACACAGTACTCGCATCCCTCCCCTCCCCCACACGCAGCTTCCCTCCCCTCCACCCAGCATCCCTCCCCACCCCTACCCCCCCACACACAGCACCCCTATCCCCCCATACACAGCACCCCTCGCACACACACACAGCACCCCTCATACACACACACACAACACCCCTCACACACAGACACACACAGCACCCCTCACACACACACACAGCAACCATCATACACACACAGCACCCCTCACAGCACACACACAGCACCCCACACACAAAAACATACACTACCCCCCTCAATGCAGTATGTGTGTGTATTCAGCAGTCTGTGTGTGTGCGTGTATTCAGCAGTCTGTGTGTGTGTGTGTGTGTGTATTCAGCAGTCTGTGTGTGTGTATTTAGCGGACTGTGTGTATGTGTGTATTCAGCGGACTGTGTGTGTATGTATTCAGCGGACTGTGTCTGTATGTATTCAGCAGTCTGTGTATGTATTCAGCAGTCTGTGTGTGTGTACTCAGCAGTCTGTGTGTGTGTACTCAGCAGTCTGTCTCTATGTGTATTCAGCAGACTGTGTGTGTGTGTATTCATCAGTCTCTGTATTCAGCAGTCTTGTGTATTCAGCAGACCGTGTGTATGTATTCAGCAGTCTGTGTTTGTGTGTATGTATTGCATTTGTTGGAGATACTAATAAATATAAGCTTAATTTTATCTATTTATATCATTATTTAAAATGTGTATCATTGAACTCTCTGTTGTTGTGTTCTTTTAAAACAAAAGTTGTTAATTAGTTTGGACAACAGTACGAGTTGTTTTTTCTAAACTTAAACCTCAGTATTGAGCTTTAATTGCCGTGTTGGCACTTTAAGGAAAAAAAAGTTGTATTGCGGTTTGGGCACTCGGGCTCAAAAAGGTTTGCCATCACTGGACTAATTCTGTAATGCAAAGACATTTTGTGTGGCTATTGTTAGATGTAAGCTGAGTGCTCTTCAAAGGCTAGATCTCAGCTCACAGACTGGGTTTTCTTTAACTTTTGTAATGGTCTGTCTATGTTATACTGTCTTTCCCCCAATCGTACAGCACTGTGGAATATGTTGGAGCTCTATAAACACCAACTATAATAATATGGTGTGGGCTTACTATCTGTGAAAATAAAAATACATAAAATCTTAAATCTATGTATCTATATCTGTCTATATCTGTCTATGTACTCCTAACGGAAAAAGGAAAATATTTAGGTGCTCACAATAATCTGTTGAAGATACGGGCAGCAGTATTTCTTTACACGGATTTCCAAATCCTTGTATGAAATATGAAATAAACCAAAAACAAATTAGATAAGCTGTGCCAAAGTAGAGGAAGTGGAACCAACCGTTAGGTGCACTATACATGAATTAGTATAAATGTACATAGACCAATAGACCAATCTTAATACTTCAGTTTGAATAGGCTAAAAAAAGAAATTAGTATAAATGTATAAATTAGTATAAATGTATAAATTAGTATAAATGTATAAATTAGTATAAATGTACATAGACCAACGTAGACCGATCTTAATACTTCAGTTTGAATAGGCTAAAAAAAGAAAACCGATAAAACAATAGTGCAATATGTAATTGTAATATATAGGTTTGGTTAAACTGATATCAAAGGCTTACTCACACTTTTGAGAGCTACTAAGAGAGCTTTGTTGCATTCTTCCCCGTCTCAGGATATATGTAGATCCAGGATAGTGAGCAGTCCCCATGGCCAGTGATAGCACAGTATGTGAAGACATAAGAAGAAATTCCAATGGTACAGTTTGTAAGTATAAATATAGTTTAAAAGTAAGTATATGGGAGGCGGAGCATGGTGCTTGAAGTGGATGGTCGCACATTTCATGTGTTTCAGATCTGCTTGCCATCCCCAATCGATTTATAGCCAAAGTACAGCCCTGAACCGGGTAAGGCCAAGCCGATATGGTACCGATATGGGACGTAAAGCTAAAAAGCAGAACTTACTGGTCTGGTGGGCAGGGCACTCTGGAGGCCTCATCGGTAAGCCCAGACCAGAGGAGAGCAAAGATGGTAAACACAGTGCGGGGCCTCCAGAAGCAGCAATCCATGACCGACCATCAGTTCACAGCCCTGGAAGACAATAGGAGACCCAAGAACCTGAAGATAATGGGCATCTCAGAGGAGATACCGGCAGCGGAGCACCTACATCTGGTGCAACGCCTACTGGTGACATTTCTTTCCCCAAAGCTGGCTAAGAATATTGCGTTAGACTGAGTATTCCGCATCCCTAAACCAAATAAAGCCGCAGACACTAAATCAAGAGACGTGTTGATACACTTCCAACATAACAAAGACAAGGCTGTGGTACAGACCACCCTTAAGGGAACTCCCTAATATGCCTTCGAGAGCATGACACACACATTTCACACAAATTTATCAGGAAGCACATTGTCCTGGAGGAGATCATTCCACCCCTTCACCTCCCTGCTTCGAGAACATACTATACATTACAGCTGGTGTTCACCCTGGCTCCTACGGTCACACAGAACAATTCCTCCTACAAGATCCATGACATGATGGACGCGCATGCTCTCCTGGAGACTCTTGGCTCCCTGAAACCGCTTGGACACAGGAAGGCTCCAGTGGAAAAGCACAGATGAACCCTGTGACATTCTCTCTGTCCCCTGGCATCCTGATTTGCACGCTTACGCTGTGGCTACAACTTGAGGTCACCCATAGACTGCCCAGACCCGCTTACTTACCATGACTCGCAGCCTCAGTACTCATGATAAGCTATTTATGTTTTTATGTTTTAGAGTCTTGTTTTTTTCAACAATGCAAGTGTACAATCCGCATTCAGATGCGTTGGCCTTTTAGTCAATGACTCCCCTCCTCGCCTCAATTTGTGCCTAGATGAGGGCTATATCACCTCAAATGCGCAGAGGCATTAATCCTCTCAGTTGGGGAAAAGAGTCAGAGCCAGAGAAAGAAACACAGAATTTGAGCGCTGGGAGAGGAGCACCAGTAGATTGCAGTAGCTCGTAGAAGAAGATTCCTGTACCAGTGCCATCTGTTTTATTATCTCTAAACTTTAACACTGGCTCCTATTTTTGGTAACGTTAATATAACATAATGTATAACTGATCCTTGGGCACTTGGAAATAAATGCTACACAAGCCAACACAAAGAGTTAATGGGACTATTCAATACATGTGTTAACTCAAAGGTGCCATAGAAGAATTACTTCTAAGCAGGGGTGTACCTAGAGCATCTGGCACACAGGGCAGACCCTGTATTTGTGAGCCGGTAATTGGCACCCCCTTAGTCAGTGGCACCGGGGGCATACTGCTGCCCAGCTGGTACACCACTGTGTATTGTGCCTTTATTTTCACATAAATAGGGCTTAGGAACCGCCTATACAAAATAGAGAGAGCGTGTATGTGTGTGTGACTCACATTACCCTCAGGCAAACTCCAGGTTACCCATGCCAGGTCTATTCCTGGAGGGAATGGCTTAGCAATGAAAGGGTTAAGCCCTATATCCATGTAACCATGCACCTGGCAGGAATGGAGGGGAAGCTGAAGTTCCCTGGTTCTCCTGCAGGTGTCCCCAGCGTGTGCTCCCCTCTCCCTCCACCCGTCTCTATGGTGACAACTCTGTGGGCCCCGCAGCGGCTGGGAGTGAGCTGCGCCCTCTAACGGAGAGAGCTGGTACTGTGCCTGTCTCAGGGCGTGGCTCTCTGCTGTGTGCCGCACTGCATGCCGGACCCCGGCGGGAGGATGGTCACAGGTAGAGCACGTGACTGGGTGTGAATTGATTTATTAATGAAGTTATTACATAGAGTGTGTGGTCATGCAGTGCACCTGCTGTTATTACTAAACCTGACTGAACAGTGTGTGTTTATATAAATACGGTATATTTTATCTATAGATAGTCTATACCTGACTGAACACTGTCTGTTTATATAAATATGGTATATTATATCTATAGATAATCTATACCTGACTGAACAGTGTCTGTTTATATAAATACGGTATATTTTATCCATAGATAATCTATACCTGACTGAACAGTGTGTGTTTATATAAATACGGTATATTTTATCTATAGATAATCTATACCTGACTGAACACTGTTTATATAAATACGGTATATTTTATCTATAGATAATCTATACCTGACTGAACAGTGTGTGTTTATATAAATACGGTATATTTTATCTATAGATAGTCTATACCTGACTGAACAGTGTCTGTTTATATAAATACGGTATATTTTATCCATAGATAATCTATACCTGACTGAACAGTGTGTGTTTATATAAATACGGTATATTTTATCTATAGATAATCTATACCTGACTGAACACTGTTTATATAAATACGGTATATTTTATCTATAGATAATCTATACCTGACTGAACAGTGTGTGTTTATATAAATACGGTATATTTTATCTATAGATAGTCTATACCTGACTGAACAGTGTCTGTTTATATAAATACGGTATATTTTATCCATAGATAGTCTATACCTGACTGAACAGTGTCTGTTTATATAAATACAGTATACTTTATCCATAGATAATCTATACCTGACTGAACACTGTTTATATAAATACGGTATATTTTATCTATAGATAATCTATACCTGACTGAACAGTGTCTGTTTATATAAATATGGTATATTTTATCTATAGATAGTCTATACCTGACTGAACACTGTCTATATAAATATGGTATATTTTATCCATAGATAGTCTATACCTGACTGAACAGTGTCTGTTTATATAAATACGGTATATTTTATCTATAGATAGTCTATACCTGACTGAACACTGTTTATATAAATACGGTATATTATATCCATAGATAATCTATACCTGACTGAACAGTGTCTGTTTATATAAATATGGTATATTTTATCTATAGATAGTCTATACCTGACTGAACAGTGTCTGTTTATATAAATACGGTATATTTTATCTATAGATAGTCTATACCTGACTGAACAGTGTCTGTTTATATAAATACAGTATACTTTATCCATAGATAATCTATACCTGACTGAACAGTGTGTGTTTATATAAATACGGTATATTTTATCCATAGATAATCTATACCTGACTGAAAACTGTTTATATAAATACGGTATATTTTATCTATAGATAATCTATACCTGACTGAACAGGGTCTGTTTATATAAATACGGTATATTTTATCTATAGATAATCTATACCTGACTGAACAGTGTGTGTTTATATAAATACGGTATATTTTATCCATAGATAATCTATACCTGACTGAAAACTGTTTATATAAATACGATATATTTTATCTATAGATAATCTATACCTGACTGAACAGGGTCTGTTTATATAAATACAGTATATTTTATCCATAGATAATCTATACCCGACTGAACAGTGTTTATATAAATACGGTATATTTTATCTATAGATAATCTATACTTGACTGAACAGTGTGTGTTTATATAAATACGGTATATTTTATCTATAGATAATCTATACCTGACTGAACAGTGTGTGTTTATATAAATACGGTATATTTTATCTATAGATAATCTATACCTGACTGAACAGTGTGTGTTTATATAAATACGGTATATTTTGTCCATAGATAGTCTATACCTGACTGAACACTGTCTGTTTATATAAATACGGTATATTTTATCTATAGATAGTCTATACCTGACTGAACACTGTTTATATAAATACGGTATATTATATCCATAGATAATCTATACCTGACTGAACAGTGTCTGTTTATATAAATATGGTATATTTTATCTATAGATAGTCTATACCTGACTGAACAGTGTCTGTTTATATAAATACGGTATATTTTATCTATAGATAGTCTATACCTGACTGAACAGTGTCTGTTTATATAAATACAGTATACTTTATCCATAGATAATCTATACCTGACTGAACAGTGTGTGTTTATATAAATACGGTATATTTTATCCATAGATAATCTATACCTGACTGAAAACTGTTTATATAAATACGGTATATTTTATCTATAGATAATCTATACCTGACTGAACAGTGTGTGTTTATATAAATACGGTATATTTTATCTATAGATAATCTATACCTGACTGAACAGTGTGTGTTTATATAAATACGGTATATTTTATCCATAGATAATCTATACCTGACTGAAAACTGTTTATATAAATACGGTATATTTTATCTATAGATAATCTATACCTGACTGAACAGGGTCTGTTTATATAAATACAGTATATTTTATCCATAGATAATCTATACCCGACTGAACAGTGTTTATATAAATACGGTATATTTTATCTATAGATAATCTATACTTGACTGAACAGTGTGTGTTTATATAAATACGGTATATTTTATCTATAGATAATCTATACCTGACTGAACAGTGTGTGTTTATATAAATACGGTATATTTTATCTATAGATAATCTATACCTGACTGAACAGTGTGTGTTTATATAAATACGGTATATTTTATCCATAGATAATCTATACCTGACTGAAAACTGTTTATATAAATACGGTATATTTTATCTATAGATAATCTATACCTGACTGAACAGTGTGTGTTTATATAAATACGGTATATTTTATCTATAGATAATCTATACCTGACTGAACAGTGTGTGTTTATAAAAATACGGTATATTTTATCCATAGATAATCTATACCTGACTGAAAACTGTTTATATAAATACGGTATATTTTATCTATAGATAATCTATACCTGACTGAACAGGGTCTGTTTATATAAATACGGTATATTTTATCTATAGATAATCTATACCTGACTGAACAGTGTGTGTTTATATAAATACAGTATATTTTATCCATAGATAATCTATACCCGACTGAACAGTGTTTATATAAATACGGTATATTTTATCTATAGATAATCTATACTTGACTGAACAGTGTGTGTTTATATAAATACGGTATATTTTATCCATAGATAATCTATACCTGACTGAACAGGGTCTGTTTATATAAATACGGTATATTTTATCTATAGATAATCTATACCTGACTGAACAGTGTGTGTTTATATAAATACAGTATATTTTATCCATAGATAATCTATACCTGACTGAAAACTGTTTATATAAATACGGTATATTTTATCTATAGATAATCTATACCTGACTGAACAGGGTCTGTTTATATAAATACGGTATATTTTATCTATAGATAATCTATACCTGACTGAACAGGGTCTGTTTATATAAATACAGTATA